ATACTATTTCTTAAAATTCTGATCTCGTTTCTACCGAAGACTTTTGTGTGAAGAGGTTTTGTGTGACGCGTTTAAGTTTCTTAGTGCTACTGAAAAATAATTATTTGTTTAGAGTTTTATGTCATTTTGACCTCAGTAGATGCCACCACTCCTCCGTTTAGCAGACAGTGGTGTCCTCAGGATATGCAGATGTATATATATATGTGTGTATGTGTATTTCGGTAGAGGAAGTTCGTTTGGAAATGTTAACAAAATTTATTGTAAACTTTTGAGTCTGGTTCCCGAGTTCATCATCAGATAAATGAAAGTCGAACGTAAAAAGTTTGGTATCGTTCCCCAACCAACTACTTCCACCGAAGTATACTTTTTGGGATGCCCACTTTCCAGTTCAAACATATGCATATATGGCCTCGGGCATTTCTCGGTCTTTATTTGATAGGCAGATGTCATCAGTACGAGCCCCTTGCTTCAATCGAAGGTTTGTCTGGTTTCCTTGGTGCGAATGGAAACTTGGGGCAAATGCGATCGTTCTTGTCTAATAAATGATGTTCACCAACGCGTGTAGAGGGAAGTTTTCCCTTTTATCACAATTTACTGCGCCACAGAGGTCGCGCGGAAGTTTGCAGATGGCAGTGCTTTTTTATCAAAAACGTCAAAGTGACTTCTCAATACATTCGTCAGTTTGTGCAACATCTCTAAATGTCAAATAAAATTGGTCGAATTTTCGTTTAATTGAATTTTTACAAGATTGATAGCGAACTGTCCTCATTACAGACTTCCTCCCAGACATAAAGGTAAGATGTGAATCATTTTTCGACTACTAGAAAGTTTGTGCGCCAACTTTATTTGATCTAACGGGCTCAAAGACCACTTTTCCATGTCAAGTAAGATTAGTCGAAGTTTCGTTTAATTTAATTTTCTCAAGATTTCATGTCCTTCTTGCACACTTCACCCCTACACGTAAAAATAAGCTGTGAATCATTTTTCAATTACCATAAGGTGAACGTCAATCATTAATAAATAAGCGCGGGCAAATTTTTTTCGCAAAGAATTACCAAAAGTGTCGAAGGGTAACTTCTGAGGAAATTAAAAAGCTGAATATTGAGATCCAGATTATGTGGCAGAAAAAATGTAGGGACGCTAGGGTACTGACTTATGCGTCGAACCCCTCGCAGTCACCTTACCCACAGCACAAAATACCTGTGTCTACATTTTAACAAGTATTTGTGCTGGAAATATAGCAAATAGGTGAGTACATATATGTACACAGCAGAGTCCATAGCTCATGAAACGTCAACTAGATTTCTCAAAAGTGTTTCAATTTGACTTCATTATTTAAGTAGGGTTGTAATGCTGATTATCGTGCAGTATAATCTGGAAATATTTCAGTCATCTTGGGGTGCCGGCATTTGAACGACCCCTTTGCGAGCAACTGTAAAAATTAAACTATACAAAAATTGCTACCTAAGTAGTAAGCATTACTATCATTCATTTTTGATGGCCCCATAAATTCAAATAAACTTTCCTGCGCTCGTTTGGTGGCAAACGACACCTTCTTCCAATTTAATATTTGAAGAAAGGATACCCTTCGGCTTTCAAAAGTTTTTAAATTGCCGAATCATTTGAATCCCACCGGCCATTAGACATGATTTCAATGTGTCCGAGCTATATGATGTATATATTCCATCTAAGAAAATGAATACATTTCCTACGGTAAAAGAAAGGGTTCCTATTATTGTCATATAATTTTATAATGGATGCAGGCCCCGTTATATACTTTATAGGCAACAACAACAAATAAACAGATACGACGTTTTCTGAATGAATAATTTATTGTCGTAAAAATCCCATTATTTGAAATTTGTTTAAAACTGCAAGATGCTTTTTTGAGTTTAGAATTTGACGAATGCTTAATCTGCTTAAAAAGTGTAAATAAACAATATTTAGTGCACTATTTCTATAAAAGGCATTCGAATTTTTAAGCAGCCATTTTTTACAGAAGATATTTCCTGAAGCGGACAGAGAGGAGCTCGTCTAAAAGCTAGCAGCCTGATGTGACTGAGATACCCTGAGATTAGGCTGCACGATAATCAGTATGACAGTCCTATTTAAATAATTAGATCGAATCGAAAACACATTTAAGCCGAGCCTACGCTATAAGGCGGTTAGTGATATAAGCAGAAGAAAATTCCCGAAAAACACAAGAAAAAATAGGATGGCCGTTTCTGGTTTATGAGCCTTCATCATACCTTGACACAGAAAGATCGCGGGTTCGAGACTCGGGTGGCACATCACTCGGGTCTAGGTATGACTGGCTGAGGACAGCTAATAAGCCAGAAATAGCTATCCTAGTCTCCCTTTACTTTGTCGGTAATGTCCTTCAGATTGTATACATGTATGTACTCAGCTTTTTGTTATATTTCCAACACAAATAACGTTTAAACCTGCAGACACAGTTTTTTGCGGCATGTGAGGTGACTGCTAGGGGGTAGACTCATAGGTTGGTATCCTGGCGTTCCCAGATTGCTTCTGCCACACAATCCAGGTCTCAATACTCAGTTTTTTAGAACTTACTCAGAAGTCGACCCTCGACAGTAAAGGTAACTCTTTACTCAAAAAACTGCTACATCTTATTAAGTAACGATTAGTGTTCACGTTGTGAAGTCGAACAATGGTTCACAGCTTAGCATTGCGTGTAGGGGGACGTGTGTAAGTAGGGAAGTCCACAAGAAACCCTGGGAAAATTAAATTAAACAAAAGTGACCAATATTACCTGCGATTGAGAAACTGTCTGAACCTGTCGAAAGAAACTTGGGTTTGGATCAAGTACAGTAGCCACACAAGCTGACGAATATATTGGGAATTCCCTTTAGCGCCAAATCCTACTCAAGTTAGTCCTTCAAATCCAAAACACATTTCAGGATTTCGACTATCATTTTATTAGATAGGAAAACTACGTGTATATTACGAATGGTCAAAAACAGGCGAGACGCAGGTAATGTAATAGAAGACGAGAAATCGTTCTTTGATTATCAGGCCCTGCGCAAAAAAACAAATAGTGCTACTGAAAGTCATTGCCGGCAGAGATGCGGTAAATATGCAGTGTGTTGTAAAATTTTTTATGCCATGACGATAGACTGACATTAAAATTGTAAATGTCGGATCGATAAACAGGTGGGCTCAGATAAACTTTTACAGTGTGTTATATGCATAAAGGTACTTCTGCAGGGTGTAATCTGCAAAGTGAAAGACTGCTTCCATTTTACATTATGGTATTATTATTGTTTTTAACCAGAGAGCCTTTAAATCTGGTCAATACAGATAACTTTAATAAGAATGATTCGAAAATAAATGATACTTCCTAAGTTGTTAATGCATGAGAACGGAACGATTATGAATGAGCCCGAAGATCACCGTCTAAATACTTAGTGAAACTAGAACGTATCGCAGAGTACAGAAGTACGTAAGGATATTATTTTGGAACTATCATCGTCTTCTTAATATCCAAATTACTTACGGACAGACTGTCTTAGTATATATTGATGGTGTTACTTACCATATTAACAGACCAGGTACTAGCTAAAAACGCCCCAAA